TATTATATTATATTATATTATATTATATTATATTATATTATATTATATTATATTATATTATATTATATTATATTATATTATATTATATTATATTATATTATATTATATTATATTACATGTATACGTATAATATTATACTTTACATAAAAATATAGGCTAAAATATACTTTATACAAAAATATATATTATAGTAGGCTATATAATATCTATATAGAGACGTAATTTCCGGGTCCAATACATTGGTTTTCGTGCACGTCAGTAAGTCATTGAGAAATTTTCCCCCCCAGTCTTTGAAGCATATTTCCTACATTACTTCTTTTATTCATTTTTTCTTTTTTTGGTTCAGTCATTCAGTTTAGATGTGTATTTCTATTTTTTCTGCCCTTTTTAATTATTTCATTTATAAATTCATTAAAAAAATAACAAAAATAAAAAAATAAAGTAGCCTAATATAGTAATAAAGTGTAGAATAAAGTACAATCAAAACTTTATATTATAATCACATTGCACTTGAATAAAGTTAAAGGTGTAATCTGCCGATTGTCCTGCAGGTGACCGCATAAATCTGTCTTCTTACGATGCACTTAGGGCTTTACGATTACTCCAGAGCACTCGTAGTTCTACGATGTTTTTCAAGTGCTACTTAAGTTACGATGCTTTTGGGAAACAGACCGTAATATTAAGATCAGTCGTACGATCGTTTTTACGAACTTCTTAGGCTTACGAAGCTTTTGGGAAATGCAGCCCAGGACAATTTTTAATATAACTCCGACTGGATTCGTCTAATTAATACGTTTATTTAGCAAGGATGCTTTAAATTGAGCAAAAGTGATGCTAAAGACATTTATAATGTTACAAAATATTTCTGTTTCAGATAAATGCTGTTCTTCTGGATTTTCTATTCATTAATTCATCAAATTCTACTTGGCTGTTTTCAACATAATAATAATAAATGTTTTGAGCAGCAAATCAGAATATTAGACTTATATTGAATGTTAGAATGTCTTATATGAATATTAGATTTCTGAAGGGTCATGTCACTGGAGTAATGATGCTGAAAATTCAGCTTTGAAATCACAGGAATAAATTACATTTAACATTTGTGTACATGTTTTAGAAGCGATAAATTCGAAGAAAAGAGTTACTTACTGTAAGCGGCGCAGAGAGCGGAACTCGTGACGCGCTCATTGCGCAGGTCAGACACATTTCGTGCTCTTCCTCTTCATCATCATGTACGCGGTGTACCGTCAGTCTCATCCGCCCACCGCTGTGGAGTTCGCCGTGTACTGCAACTTCATCTGCAGCCAAGAGAAGAACCTGGTGGTGGCAGCAACCTCTCAGCTCTATGTCTACAGGATCATCTATGATGTGGAGGTGAGTGAGGGGCTGTGCTGCTGTCTCTGCTGAAGGAGAACTGAAGTGAGACAATGCGACAAATGAAATGTCATTCTAGTGGCTGTCTAATGGAGCCAAGAATCCACAGACGGTTGACAGCTGCAGAGGATTGAAACACCTTTGTCTTTGTTTTGTCTTAATTATATCGCTGTATAGCGAGTATATATAACTATACAGGTGCATCTCAATAAATTAGAATGTCGTGGAAAAGTTCATTTATTTCAGTAATTCAACTCAAATTGTGAAACTCGTGTATTAAATAAATTCAATGCACACAGACTGAAGTAGTTTAAGTCTTTGGTTCTTTTAATTGTGATGATTTTGGCTCACATTTAACAAAAACCCACCAACTCACTATCTCAACAAATTAGAATACTCCATACTTTGATAGAAAGGTATGTAATGGATTCGGCTGAATAGCTGTCAGCTGTTAAATTTAAGTGCACAATTAGATAAAACCAGTCTAGGTCAACCAATTACCAAGCAGAGCTTCATTTTGTTCAGTCTGTGGTGAAAAAAGGTTGCATTTAGCAATTGCAAACACACAAGCAAAACATGATCAGGTCAAAGTGTCTGAATAATTTTTGCTCCCAAATTTTTTATCAAATTTACTGGTAGTCCACTGTATGAAGAAGTTATGTCACAGTTTACTTTATTTTGCTATCCTCACTTACGTAAATGAACTATAGTGTCCTGCACCCCCCCCCACACACACACACACAGACACACACATATTGTTTACTTCTTTTTCTCATCATATTAAACCTTAGAAACTGGTTGAGAAATGTGCTTGAGAAGGGTCTTTATATTATAATGCTTTCTTTATATTTTTAGAATAAATGCCACTTGGTTTGGTTTTGTTTGGTTTAAATGGGTCATTAGTGTAAACATTAATGATTTTCTCTCATTGCTTTCTAGAGCACTTCCAAATCGGAGAAGTCGTCAGGTAAGACTTTTCATTTTTGTTCTGCAGTCAAGCATCCTGTAGATTAAAATGGATTTTATTACTGGGTTTATAATTATTAACATTGCTGTTATTGTTGTTGTTATGATTATTAATATTCAATTGTAGATGGCAAGAGCCGTAAAGAGAAGCTGGAGCAGGTGGTGTCCTTCTCTCTCTTTGGAAATGTGATGTCCATGGCCAGCGTTCAGCTCGCGGGCACCAACAGAGACGCCTTGCTCCTCAGCTTCAAAGATGCCAAGGTACGTGTGACTGCATCACAGCTACTTCCTGCGAAAGAAAATCTTTGTAGAGTATCTAAAGTCTGTGTTTGTTTTTCTTCCAGCTCTCAGCTGTGGAGTATGATCCAGGCACGCATGACCTCAAGACGCTGTCGCTGCACTATTTCGAGGAGCCGGAGTTGAGGGTGTGTACTGTGTTTATGAGCATGTGTTGAGCTGCTGATCTGTGGAGGCAGGGGTGTGTTTTGATGGCTGTGTGCTGTGTGTTTGGATGGTTTCAGGAAGGGTTTGATCAGAATGTGCACATCCCCATGTGCACATCCCCATGGTGGACCCAGAGAACCGCCGCATTGTCATGCTGGTGTACGGCACCTGTCTGGTGGTTCTGCCCTTCAGGAAGGACACGCTGACCGAAGAACAAGAAGGCATTGTGGGAGAGGGGTGCGGACAATATTTTCTAAATATTTCCTGACATTTTAAATGATTACTCTACCACTGAAAAGTTTGTGGTTGTTAAGATATTTTAATGTTTTTGTAAGATTAAAAAAAAAAGTTTTTTAATGTTTTAATTAGTGCTGTCAAACGATTAATCGCATCCAAAATAAAAGTTTTTGTTTACATAATATATGTGACCCTGGAGCACAAAACCAGTCTTAAGGGTCAATTTTTCGAAATTGAGATTTATACATCATCTGAAAGCTGAATAAATAAGCTTTCCATTGATGTATGGTTTGTTAGGACAATATTTAACCGAGATACATTGAAACTATTTGAAAATCTGGAATCTGAGGGTGCAAAAAAATCTAAATATTGAGAAAATCACCTTTAAAGTTGTCCAAATGAAGTTCTTAGCAATGCATATTACTAATCAAAAATTAAGTTTTGATATATTTACAGTAGGAAATTTACAAAATATCTTCATGGAACATCCTAGGCGACCGCCTAGCTCGCCTATGCCTAGAAACGGCCCTGCCAGGGTCACATATGTGTGTGTACTGTGTGTATTTATTATGTCTGTATAAATACACGCATATACATGTATATATTTAAGAAAAATATGTTATGTTTATATATTAAATATATTTATCTGTAATATAAATAATATAAATATATACATGTAAATACATGTTAAATATTTTCAAAATATATTCATGCATGTGTGTGTATTTATATATACATAATAAATATACACAGTACACACACATATATTATGTAAACAAAAACGTTTATTTTGGATGCGATTAATCATTTGACAGCACTAGTTTTAATGTTTGTTTGTTTTTTTGGTCAAATTTATTTGATACAAAAATAGAGTAACAATAGTAAAATTGTTAAATATTATTGCAATTTAAAACAACTGCTTTCTATTGTAATATATTTTCAAATGTAATTTATTCCTGTGATGGAAAGCTGATTTGATCTTCAGTGTCACATGATCCTTCAGAAATCATATGCTGATTTGCTGCTCGAGAAACATTTCTGATTAATAACAATTTTGAAGAAATTTCTAAAGAATAGCATTTGTTTGAAATAGAAATGTAACATCCTAATTGTATTTACTGTCACTTTTTTTATCTATTCAATGTGTCCTTGCTAAATGGAAGTATTAATTCCCAAACTTTTTAACTGTAGCTTATCAGACTCTATTCAAATTAAACTGCTATTTATTTACAGCAAGATCTCATTCAAAATATTTCTTTTTTAGGCAGAAATCAAGTTTCCTTCCCAGTTACATCATTGATGTTCGTGAACAGGACGAGAAGCTCCTAAACATCATCGATATGAAGTTTCTCCACGGTTACTACGAGCCCACACTGCTTATTCTGTTTGAGCCCAATCAGACGTGGCCAGGGTGCGACTGTCTATCTGATGATCAGCACTTCATTACATGTATTTCCGGTCTCAGTCATATGCATTCAGTCTTTAGCAGCGGTGTTGTTTGTTATGTTCAGGCGTGTGGCAGTGCGTCACGACACGTGCAGTATCGTGGCCATCTCTCTAAACATCATGCAGAAGGTTCATCCGGTCATCTGGTCTCTCAGTAACCTGCCCTTCGACTGCACTCAGGTCATGGCTGTGCCCAAACCCATCGGTAAGAGATCATCCTCCTCGCTCA